TGATCGATATTTATTTCTGTTTCATCGCCGGAGGCCCGCTTTTCGTTTAATTTATTACTCGCTTTTCTCTCAAAATTCGGTGGCCTTTGTTCGGGCGAAAGTTGCCGTTGTTCAAGTAGAAATTATGCGCATCTTATTGAGTCATTCTTTCGAATGTAGAGCTCGATAGACCTCGCAGTCATTCGTTTTTTTTTGTATCTGAAAGCGCCGTAATCCAAGCTCGTCCAGGCTTGAGTACGAAAACCATATATTGATAGGCATCATATGTGTAAAACTGTGTTTGGTCGTCTTGTTCAAGATGGACCAGTTCCATATTCCTCGGAAATTGAAAGTGAGAATAATTTGCATATCCACACGTGAGAGCAAAGCGCAGTCATACGCATGCACACATTTTCGTGCTTTCGTTCTATGCGTAATGATGACAGATGTAATGCATGACTACATCAGTTAGCATATCGGAAGATGGAGCTTTGATTATTTTGCTTCTGTTGCTGAAATGTGGTTTTATACAGGTTATACACCGAGAAGTCACTGTTTCGATGTGATTATGAAATGATATTTTCGATATGGTCACCGTCTTTACTCTTTCCAAGGACCTGAGTGGTTCACTAGGAATCGAAAATTCACGCATTCGATCAACGGTAAAGTCAATCGTTATTCCTTCTTTCAAGGTAGGAATAAATGAGTTAAACTTTGTGGGAAGGAAACAGTAGATTACGTCTGTGATTGCAGCATAGCTGCTGTTGACCTTGTCTTTTTAAGCAAGGCACCCCTAGATGAAGGCATGGAAATGGAGGTCAGCACCTCACCGTTTGCTTCTTCAGGAAAACGGACATCATGACAATGGACGGAAGACATGCATCCATCGTTTGAGATATTTCCTTTAAGGCGTTTTCTTTACATCGCGCCCAGGACAAATGTAAACAAGAAACTGTGCAGCATACCGCGAAAGCTTTTTGTCATGAGTTCATTGTTTTGATACAGTTGTGACTGTCTGTGCCTTTTCACTTCCTCATGTTCCTCACGTCTCCATACGTCTGGAAATATTGCTAGCAAGGTCGATTTACAACGTATTTTTTATGGAGTACTTTTGCAGCGAATTCGAGAACATTATTGCATAGTTTGTCTTTTGTAATTGCTCTTTATTCCGTTATCTCAAAACGTCTTTCTTTTGGCGCGGCATCGACAGTGTGATCAAATGGACTTCATGTTAATCCCGTTAATTTATGTCGCATCGAGGTTGTCGCCTGCTGGAGCATTATCGTCTTTCTCCATCACAAGGCGAAAAACAGCTGTCGTAAAAAATGCACGGCACGATGTTAATTTGTTTAAAACGTAGATTTTCACACATCGCTGTTATTCTTGGTCTGGTCGTTTGTTACACAGATTTATGTCATATGTCCCCCCCCCTCTTCTCATTCGTCTGCGGTCTGTCAAGTTGAAGATATAACAAGAGCTATGGGCTTATCAACGCCTTGGTGTGCTGCTGCATTGAATAGTTTAAGTTTCCTAATACCTAGGGTTCAGATCACTTCGTCGCTCAATAAGTCGCGAACTCAAATCTTATGCAAGTCATACATTTAGTTAGATG